GCCTTTGACACATTTAGCTAACTTTAGCTACTTTTAACTTTTATCTAGCTTTTGACTACTTTCACTTCTAGACATCGTTTTCATACGTTTAACCTTTAACCAGGCGGTTGCTTGTTACAATTTGCTACTTTTAGATTTTAGCTATTGGTTTTTTTTTTTACTTTTAGCTAGTTTTTTGCTATTTTTTAGCTAACTTTAACTGATTTTAGCTATTTGTTAGCTTTTCCACATTTAGCTTCTAGGCAGCCTTTTGATGTTTTTAGCCTCTAATTAGCCTGTTGCTATTTTTAGTCAAAATTTTGCTACTTTTTCTATTTAGCTACTTTATGCAACTTCCAGTATTCAAGTGTTTTGCCACTTTTAGCCAATGTGTTGTTGTTTTTTTAGCAAATAGTTTTCTACTGTTGGCGTTAAATTTTGCTCCTTCGAACCCATCATTTTCACAGAAAAAGCATTTTTTATTCTCTTCACATCGTCTACGATTGTGTTCAGCACAACTATTACACCATGTTTAGTAGTGGAAATAAAAATTAATCTGTTCAGGACATTGTTTTTTATTTTTTATTTTACAAACTTAAATAGATACTTTGTACGGTTTTATTCATGAGTTCAACTCCTGAGTCCTGAGTTTTTGTTTGAGGTACTTTTTAACATTTTGCCCAGTTTTTACCAATTAAAAAAGCATTTTTCTAACCTAACGTCTGTTTATCAAACACGTCTGAACAGCAACACTACACCGCAGAAAGCGTCTTAAACATCTCATGAAGTTAGTTTTTGTTTATTTCTCATTTTATCGTAAAATATTTAAACAACTTCTCAGGACGTCAGTCAGAACAAATGTTGCTCAACTTTATGTGTAGAAGTAGCAAAAAGAAGGATTCATTCTGAGGAAATTAAAGTTTAGAGATTTTATTTTTCTTTCATTGAAAGTTATTAATAGTTTATTTCTTTTTTCTATAAGCGAAGTGAAATCAAAATATGTCAAAGATTTTTAAAAGGAAAAACACTTCATAGTTAATTTGAATTATCTCTAGAAGATGTGACCTAATCAAGCTGTTGTGTATCATATAAACTGCTCTCGGATGCCCTCTGCTGGTGGTTTGCATCAATGCAGGAAGCATCTTTGTCATGTCTGTCACTGCTCTAGGACCAGAATCTCAGAATTTTTAAATAAATAAATAAATAAATAAATAAATAAATAAATAAATCTGTATATTCAATTTCAAGAAGTTAAATTGAACCAATGTGAAAAATAAAAGAAAAGCCAATAGCTGACTTTAGTTTACATAAAACAGGGGTGCACAAACATTTTCCCTGAGAGGGCCAAAATTAAAATCAATCTGAGGGCCACGGGCCAAAAGTAATAATACTGTATAAGAAATGCAAATACTTAAGTAGTTTTATTTTTCATGATTAAGCTCAATTTTTCCAGCCCATGGACATGGAGAAAATTCAACGTATGCTTGGGCAGCAAAGGCTCATGGGATTTTCATAATTTAAAATTTGAATATATGTGGTCTTATAAGGTGTGCAAATCTATATATGGGCTTAAATCTAATCTAAATGTCTCTTGTAGTTACTTGTATTTTATATTTAATCTTAATATAATTACAATCTAATAACCAGGACAACTGCTGGTGGGCCAAATTGAATGGCTTGGCGGACCAATTTTGGCATGCGCCAAAATTGGGCACCTCTGACGTAAAAAATGTCTCCAACTCAACCAACTTTATTTACTGTATGTTGAGCTTAAATTTGGTGTGGTAGAAGCTGAGAGTCATTCACAACACATACTACGAGATAATCTTATTTTCAAGGTTTTACAAAAAACAATCAATTTCTCAACATCTGATGATCTCAGTCTGAAACTCTGGCATGAAAGCTGGAGGGTCACATCCATCCCTTCAAGAAATGCTAGGACTTTTTAAAAAATGACAGGAAAGATGCTTCCTTCATTAAAGCAAACCACCAGCAGAGGGCGTCCGAAAGCAGTTTATATGATACACAAAAAAAAAATTGTGAAGAAAGACCGTCCATCATTAAACAGAGGTGGGGGCCTCCGTTTTCAGTTGTCCCCCTCCTACAGCGCGGCTATTGCCAGTATCACTCCACCCCCTGTTAACAATAAGTGTTAATTAGGTGTCAACGATAACCATGTGCTGTGAGTATCAGTCACATCACAAAAGCCTGAATTTTGCCTGAAACTCTCATGGTGCGTTCACACCAAATG